CTTCTGGAGGGCCAAAAAATTTCACATAGATTTTCCAGATTACGAGGGCGCCATACGACTCACCCCTGCGATGTGGAAGGGATAACTGTAGTGGTATTGCTGGGTCACAGGGTATGGTCAGTTTTATAGCCCTTTGGGCATAGTCCCAGATTGTTCTCCAGAATGGTTGGACCAGTTGACAACTCCACCAACAGTGCATTAGTGTCAAGGGGTGGTATATGTGTTGCTCATGTAAGTTATATATGTCCACATGGGTCTGTCCAGATATGGCTCACCAATAGGCATGGATAACCTCTCTAGGATCTCCTTCATTCATCCTTCTCCAAGGGAGATTTTAATTCCTACCAAGAGAGGAAGCAAAAGGTTGGGGCCAGAGGCTACCACTCTGCTTTCTTCAGAAAGAGAGAGTAGCAGGCTAGAATTAGATCTTTCTGCCCCCTACCCCAGTGTTTTTATTCAGAGGAAGATAATTTCTAGGTTCAAACTGAGCTTCTGATTGCTATCCCTTAACAGGCAAGAAACATCCCCAAGCTATATTATCTAAGGCTTGGCTTCCCACCAAATGCCAGTTATGCAAAGAATACATGTAATGAATAGCAAACTCATTTATCTGATAAGCCAATGGCAACCAGAAATCAGAGAAAGTATGAGATGACAATGTACCAGACAATACACAGAAAGAATTCCCACTGGAATTGAGATATCTCAGTTTAGCCAAGAGAGTCCTAGATCTCAAAGGGAAATTCCCCAAAGTCTCTAGAGCAGCAAGCTGGGGCTATTGACATGATCAAGTCACAGACTCCTCTATATGTCATCTTCTCCCCAGAGTCTTTCTCTCTCTTCAGAAACCTAAAGAGAATCTGGAACACCATGTTTCTTTTCTCAAAGCTAGAAGCCACAAGACCAGGATCTCTCCTCCTCCAAGTTCTTGCCAGCTCTCCACCAATAAGAACAATCCAATGCAAGTAGACTTTGAGCTACAGGTTATAGTAAATTAGAACAAATAAATAACCTTAAGAACCAAATTAGTAAATGAATGAAAAATAATTTTTTAAGAGTAGGCTGCAGAGGGATGAAACACAAATCATGCAATTTTATGAGGAAGGGAAATGGTTTTGAGTGGTGGGAATTTCCTGGTGCCCAGATGGTGATGGGATTATTGCCCCAGGATAAAAACCACTTGGAGAAACTTGGGGCTTCACAATTGGCCAGTGGCTTAAGACGGTAACCCTTGAGAAAGACCCTTAAAACGTCTTGATTTGGTGTTACATAGGCAATCCTTTTGACACATGTCCGCTACATCCCTCAGGTTAAATGGTATCCTACTGCCTCTAGGATAGAATACAACTACTCTGAGCTTTGCAATCTATCTTTCCAGGATTATTGTATAATATTCTCACTTGTGTACTCTACATTCCCAGCAAACTAACCTGTAATGTTCTCTCTATATTCCAATCCCACCTCCAGGCCTTTGCTCAGGCTGTTCCCCATGTCTGGAATGCACTGCCTCCTCACCTCCACCTCTTGCCCAAGGTCACACAGATAATAAGTGGCAGAATTTGAGCCCAGGTCCTCTGATTCCTAATATAGACTTTCCCCACTATACAATGCTTCCTTCAAAGCCCAGCTCCAATGCTTCTTTCTTTGGGCAGCCTTTCCTTACCTCCCCAGTTGCTAGTGCCTTCCACCCCCAAATTACTTGAATTTAATTTTCTGGTAGATGCTGTCTGCCCCTGTGCCCTAACAGAATATAAGGTTCTTAAGGATAGGGACTGTGGTTTTTGTCTTTGTATCTCCAGAGCCTAGTACATTTTAGGTGAGAGAAATGATTCATTCAGCACTCCTACTCAAACTCTAATCAGTATTAGTTCACTATGATGTTATAAGATATGATGATTGTTAGTAATTATTTTAATATATTCATCTAGTAATACATATCTAGTCAGTCACCTAATAATAGGTATAAGAATAAGCAATGTATTAATCCATATTTTGTATAAGTCACCTAGGAATATAGATTCTAATAGAAGGGCCCTATAATAGACCTCAGACTTTAATGTAATGTTCATTACTTCTTTACCAGTTATGGAACTCACTTGTGCAACCACAAGAATATCTCCATCTTGTTTTGCTCAAATTCCATGACCAAACCAAGGATGGGTGGTGGCATGGTAGGGAAAGTCACTCAGATATGTTCTTGGAGCATCTTGGAGCTTGTACCATCTCTTGCCTAACCTAAGGAGGAGTCCCTGTATCTTGTGACCACCGAGTCAGTGGAGGTATTTCCTGCTTCACTCAACTCGTGATCCTGCTGATGGATCATTTTTGTTTATTTTAGCTTATGTGTTATATGTCAACCAATGGGATTCTGTATTTTTGCTTCTTTTGAATATTTGGGTATCAAACTCTACAAATACCAGGTTCCAGAAGGGGGTATCTCAGATCATGAGTAAGATCTGAGGTCTACTTCATTAGAGGGAACCATGGACCCTTTAATAAAGTGCCATTGGCTCAGGGCTTTGCCTCAGTTTCTTTTACTGTAGGTTGGACAATCTTAATTCCCATGTAAGCATTTAATGAATCTTGTTGACTAAACAAGATTCTAACTAAACTAGACTAGACTATTCTAGACTAAACTAAATCCTCTTCTAGGATTAGAAAGAGAAGTTTATGGGACTGCCCTCCCCTTGGTTTATGCTTTTCATTAGTATTTCTCCTATAACACAAACAAACTCTGTCCATAATGTGCTGATTACCCAGTCCTTGAACTGGGTGTGGGCAAGTAAAGATTACAGAAAGGAGTCCCAGCATTATCTTGGAAAGCCTTGCATTATATCCATCCCAGGAGAAGATAAGGCTGAAGTATTCCCTTTCAGCAATGACCAGATGATCAGTATGGGGAAGATAAAGTCTCAGGAGGCACCTATCAGAAGGTTGATATTCTAAATTGATCTTTGCCCCAAACCTGGTTATTTATAATACACTAATCTTACACTACCAGCTGGAGAGATATCTCTTTCTTAAGTACAGAAATCTACAAATGGCAAGCAATAGGTTTGCTTCTCAGTGACAAAGGGTTGGAAATAGAGACTCAAAAGTATATTGTGTTAGATGACAGTATTAGAGTCCAGAAAGGCTAGAACTTTGGGCTACTCTGGGTCTAATAAAATTTAATGAGATCAAATGTAAAGTGCACACTTGGTTTAAAAAATCAACTTCACAGCCTCGAAATATGAGACACATGGCTAGACAATAGTTCATTTAAAAAAAAAAAAGTCCTAGGGATTTTGGTGGCTTGAAAATTCAAGTCAACAGCAAATAACAATGATGATGATGGTAGAAAAAAAAAAAGATAACACAATCATAGGCTTCATTAAAAGTCATAATATCCAGAATTACAAAAAGATGATTTTCCTTTGTCCTCTGCCCTGGTCAGACCATACTTGGAATATTGTGTTCAGTTCTGGGCATCACATTTTAGGAAGGACATTGACAAACTGGAGAGAATCCAAATGAAGGTGACCAAGATGGAGAAGGACCTCTAGATCATCATTAGATGAGTATCAACTGAAGAAACGTAACATAGTTAACCTGGAGAGGAGAATTGGGGGAGGGGTGTTAGACAATAGCTATACTCAGGTACTTGAAAATTGTCAAGTGGAAGTCAAATCAGTAATCACTTATTAAGCACCTACTGTGTTCCAGGCTCTGAACTAAGTGCTGGAAATACAAAGAAAGGCAAAAACAGTCCCTGCCCTCAAGGACCTTGAAGTCCAATGGGAGAGAGAACACGGAGCAAAAACACGATATATACAGAAAGGGAATGAACTTACTCTGCCTGGCTTCAGAGACTTCACTTACCTGACAGCTAGAGCCAGCCCAGGGTGGAGCAGGCTGCCTCAGTTTCTCCCTCACGGGAGTTCTTTCAAGCAAAGGCAGGCTTCCTTATAGCTTGAATCAAACTCAATAAACCCTCACGTCCCTTCTAGCTCTGAGTCTCTGTGGCCACACCCTGATGCCCTGCTCATCATATAAGACTGGAGATCAGGAAACCTGAAACCTCTAAGTTGCTATGGGACCTCGGGCAGGTCACTTCCCTCTCTATAGGCCTCAGTTTCCCCATCTGTTAAAATGAGGGTGTTGGACTAGATAGGCCTGAAGGTCTCTTCTGATTCGAAATATACAATCTGTGAAGTCACTTCCTCTCTCTGGCCTCAGTTTCTCTGTTTGTAAAATGTGTAGGTTTGGATGTTTCAATGACTTCAAAGGCCGCTCGAGACCCTGAAATTCTGCGCTCCCTCTCCAGCTTGGCTGACTTTCCAGGATCCTGGAGCTGGTCTGGCTGCTGCTGCCCCACACACCCCCAGTTCCAGCCTTTATGGGGGGCCCTGCCCCTCTGGGCTACAAGTCCCACAGTTTGTTCAGCAAGAAGAGGTTTGAGGCTTGAGAAAGAAACGCCATCAGTGCCTAAGAATAAGCAAAAAGGTTGCCTGGTGCCCTTGGGCCTGCTGACCCACACCCTGGCCTTTCTGTGGCTCCCCCTTCAATCCCCACCACCTTCGTCCTGCTTCCCTGTCCCTCCCAGGCCATCCTCTTACACGTGAGCAGGGTTAAGGCTGAGGCATGATCATAGTCTCTCTATCAGGTCTGATAAAGTTTAGTAGTTATGGCCTTTCCTCCATCTTCTGACTGGGATACCAGGCTTCCAGAGCCCTGCGTTGCTGAACCTTCTTGCCCCCAAGGGACCAGAGGTCATTCTCTCACGTGGGACAAAAGCAATCAATGTCCCTGAGACTTGATGAACCCAGATAATGGCATAATTTTATTTCTTTTCAGTCCTTGGCTCAGCTCAACTATTAATTTGGATTTGCAACCAGCTTTTGGCCAAGTCCTTAGCAGGCTTGGCTGAGGTCCTGAGGGTGGTGGGAGAGGACAGGCCCTTCCAAGTGTGGCTGCATCTCTAATGGCCTCACTGCCTTCTTCATCTTCAACCAATTATCATGTTCCAGGAACTACCACATCCCTGTGGTACCAGCTGGGATCCTGCCCTGAGTCCCAGCCTCACCCAGAAGCAGCCTGACCTTGCCCCCAGAGGCCTGAAGGCTCCTGTGAGTCCTGTTACATGTATTTACCTGCAGCCTGGGACCTTGACTCAATTATCCAACTGGACAACACTGAGAAATGTCAAGATAGGTGGGTTTCCCCTTCAGAGATCAAGCCCTCACTGGTCACTGAGGCTGTCACTTTCTGCTTTCAGAGAAATTCTCTAGTTGCTCATCTGAGATTTTGGTACAGGTTAGACGCAGTAGATGGGATGGCTCTCCTCTTTGGGGATGGGTGGGATTTATGTTGGATTATGCTGGGCTAATGGCTGCTACCATCTCCAGGGCATTAAACAGATCAGTCATGAATGGGGTTCAGTAGGTAGGGAGTCCATTTATAGCAAGATGGTGCTATCCCATGGAGTGAACCTGACCCTAGTTCCATTTCAATATCTGTTGGAGACCCTAATTCTCCTTGTAGGTCAAAACCTTCTTCATTCAAAATTCTTAAGCTCGGCTCATGTAAACAGACGCAGGCCTGCAAATTTTCCTTGGTATTGCCTCTAGGAGAAAAAAAGGCTAGCTAAATAGCTCCTGTATGATTATCACCCTCAAATACATGACGTTCCATCTCCTCCCTCCCTACTTTTGGACATCCTGTTCCCAATGCTTGGCATCTCTGCCTTTTGGAGTTCCTCTTCAAGGGATTTCCCAAAAGAGACTTTTTTTAGGCAACCCGGTGGCCTAGTGGATACAGTGCTGGACTCAGAGATGTTGTTCATTTATTTCAGTTGTGAACGACTCTTCATGACCCCATTTGGGGTTTTCTTGGTAAGGAAACTGGAGGGGTTTGCCATTTCCTTCTCTAGTAGATTTAGGCAAACAGAGGTTAAGTGACTTACTCAGAGTCACACAGCTAGTAAGTGTCTGAGGTTAGATTTGAACTCAGGTTTTCCTGCCTCCAAGCCCAGCTTTCAATCCCCTAAACCATCTAGCTATCCTAAGACATGGAATTAGGAAACCTTGAACTCAAATCCTACCTTAGACATATCACTAGCTGTGTGACTTTGGATAAATAATCTAACCTCTTTGAGCCTCAGTTTCCTCATCTGTAAATGGGGTTAATAATAATAATAATAATAATACCAGCTTCACTGAGTTGTTGTGAGAATCAAATGAAATAGATACATAAAGCACTCTGGAAACCTTAACGTGCCATACAAACATCATCATCATTGTTACTGAGCATAGGAAGTAAAGGAAGTTGGTGGAGATGAGTCTGTGGGGAGCAGTCAGGGCTAGCCTCTACTTTCCAATGGACACCAGGGATGACCTGGCCCTTCAACTTTCCTGACCTCTTGTGAACTCCATCACAGGGGCACAGGGGCTCAAGTTAGGCTTTATCTGTCCTGTCTTTTACCCCTTCACAGTGAGGGGCCAGAAGAAGCTTGTGGACGTGGCACCATGGCAGAAGGGATTTAGGGGGTGAGGGGAAGAGCGGAGAAAATCACATTGGGTTCCACAAGGGATCTGGGTGAAAAGTCCACAGGTGGCGGCAGCTAACCCACAGCCAAAAAGGAATCGAGGGGAGAGTGCACCAGAGGGGTCTGCTCACTCCTGGTCTAAGGAACCTCCTTACTATGCCATGTAGCTTTCTGAGACACAGAAATAGTACTTGGCCTAACAGTCACATAGCAAAGGAGTGCCCGGAGTGGGATCTGAACTGATCCAACCATTCGGGAGAGCAATTTGGAACTATGCCCAAAGGGCTATAAACATGTACATACCCTTTGACCCAGCAATAGCACTTCTAGGACTATATCCCAAAGAGATCATGCAAATGGGAAAAGGACCCACATGTACAAAAATATTTATAGCATCCCATCAATTGGGGAATGGCTGAACAAGTTGTGGTATATGAAAGTAATGGACTATTATTTTGCTATAAGAAATGATGAGCAGGCAGACTTCAGAAAAACCTGGAAAGCCTTGTATGGACTGATGCCAAATGAAATGATCAGAACCAGGAGAACACTGTACATAGTAACAGCCCCATTGTGCAATGACTAACTTTCATAGACTTAGCCCTTCTCAGCAATGCAAGGATCTAAGACATCTTCAAAAGTCTCATGATAGAAAATGCTATCCACATTCAGAGAAAGAACTATGGAGTCTGAATGCAGACTGAAGCTCTCTTTGCTCTTTTTTTTCCCTTCTATTTTGTTTTGTTTCTTCTTTCTCATGGTTCCTCCCATTGGTTCTAATTCTTCTTTACGATATGACTAATGTGAAAATATGTTTAACAGGAATGCATATGTAGAGCCTATATCAGATTGCATGCCATCTTGGGGAGTGAGGAGAGGAGGGAGGGGGAGAAAATATAATACTCAAAAACTTTATGGAAGTGAATGTTGAAAACTAAAAATAAATTAATTAATTAAAAAAACTACTGGGGTAAGGATTACATTATTCAACAAAAAACTTATGGAAAAGTTGGGAAAAGGTCTGGTAGAAATTAAGTTTAGTCTAACATCTCACACCACATACCACAATAAGTTCTAAATGGTTACATGACCTAGATGTAAAAAGTTATGTCTGAAACAATTTAGAGAAGGTAAGGAGATATCCTGCACTGTGAGGGACTGTCTGATGTTGGCAGTTGCCAGTTGGGCGCTGTGGCAAGAGTAGGGTAGAATCTGGGTATTTTGGAAGTCGAGGCAGGGGCTGTGGTAGGCGGAGTCATGGTAAACTGGGATGGGCTGGGTACGGAGAAGCCCTGAGGCAGTGGGCAGTGCTATGTGAGATAAGCTGGGTGCAAGGAAGTAGCCGGAGCTTGTGCTCCTGAGGCAAGGGGCGGTGCCACGTGGGAGTGGGATGGCAGAGGACTGAGTTCCCTTTGCTTAGTCCCCTCCCTATATGCAACGTCAACCCCAGACGCCTCCATCTTGTGACCTTCCTGACTTCCTGGGTCCCTTTGTGTAGCACTGACCCCAGACCCCTCCTCCCAGCATCTGAGTCTGACTTCCTAGGTCACGTACTCTGTCTATGCACTAATCCCAGATGCCTCCTTCCTGTATCCGGTCCTAGCCTCCTACGTCACTCCCTCCCCCTTGGTGTGCTAAACTCAGACAGCCCCTTCTGGTATCTGACCCTACAATCATTGGCTAGTAAGCGGGCTGGGGAGGAGGGGCTAAGTAGGTACTTAGGAACGAGCGTGGTCAGATCACGCGCTCTCTCGCTCTCTCTTGGCTCCTGCTCTGTTGCTCTGGCCTTGCTGCTTGGGCTTGCTGTGATGGCCTCTGAATAAAGCTCTGGTGTTGGCGCCTCCCGATGGCTCGTCTCTGTGTGTTTATCCGGCTGAGGACCGAAGACTCGGAAGTGAGTATGACTCTGGCAGCCTGCTCCTTATAGGAGGAGAGGGTTGGCGCGGCCGACACAAGGTCGGCGCGGCCGGTACACTGCACAACTGCAAATAGTAGAAGAGTTCTTGATCAAACAAAACATAGAAATGATCGCAGTAGGGAAAATGGACAATTTTGATTTAACCATAAAATTAAAAAGGTTTTGTACCTATCTCATAGGGTTGTCATGAAGATTAGGGTTGAGGCGAATGAGAATGAGGTGTCAGACAGCTGAGGTCTGGGAAGGAGGTTTGTTCTTTGACAGTTGGGAGTTCAGTATCATTAGGGTGTAGAAGAGAAGCAATGAACTAGGGAAATTTTTCTGATAAAGGTTTAATATCCAAGTTACATAGGGAACTTATCAAAATACATAAGAACAAGAACCATTCCCCAATAGATAAATGGTCAAAGAATATAAACGGATAGTTCTCAAAGGTTCTCAAAAGAAGAAACACATGCTATCAATAATTATGTAAAAAGTCTCCAAGTTACTAATTTCAGTAAACAATTATTATTCAAATAGAACTTAAAATAATTCTAAGGTTCCACTGAGCACCTGTCAGGCTTGAAAAGATGATGACAACAACAACAAGAGGAAAAGGGAAAATAGCAGCTGTCAGAGGGGCAACTAATACACTGTTGGTACAGCTATTGATCTGTCCATTTTGGAACCATGTTGGAATCATGCGCAAGATGTAACTCAACTATGGTACCACTGGGCATGTATCCCAAAGAAATCAAAGACAAAAAATAAGGATCCATTTGTACAAAAATATTTATGGTAGAATTTGGGGTTGTAGGAAACAACTGGAAACAAAGTTAAGTGCCCCTCAACTGGAGAATGGCTGAACAAATTAAGGTATGTAAATGGAATAGAATAGTTTTGTACCTTAAGAAAATATGAAAGGAAGAGATTCAGAGAAATTTGAGAAGATTTACATGAACTGAAGCAGGATGAAGTAAACAGAACCAGAGGAATATTTTATTTAATGACTACCATGTTCTAAAGGAAAACAACTTTGAAAGACTTAAGAATTCTTGTCAATGTGTAACAATTGTTTTACTAAACTCTCCCACAGAGACCATAAGATACTGTTGCTGTACCTCAAAGAGCCAATTGGAATATAATGAAAAAGGCCTTGTGGGTAGACAGTTTGAACTTACGGTTGCAGTTTTCTGGTTATAAAGTACTTTTCCCTACTAAGTCAAGGAGAGTCAGTATGAGTTTGTCTTGGATTTATGCAAATCTATGAGGAAGATGTGGAGAAGATGGAGAGGAAGAAGGTGAAGAGAACTCTCTCCTTTGTTAGAACTATCTTCCTTGTTGGGATTCCCTTGTTTTACCTGTTGTGTTTTGGAAAAACATAAAGAGAGGAGTCTGTGAGGAATTAACAGTTTACCGTGTATTCCTTTGATGGCTGACACAACAAAAATGAAGGATTAATATAACATTTTCTAAGAGATTGAATTTAACTATTCTCTTGAAAAGAACTATGAAGAGGATTCTTTAGAGACTTTCATTAATAGAACTAAATGGTGAAATTATGTTTTTAAAAAGAAAATTATCCGAGGTGATAGTGAGGGTATGAGGTGACTCTGGTTATGATCTTTCTCATAGCCAAAATATTATAAATAACTAATCTATGTTTTGATTGTATTGTTCAT